GGGCGCCGCGGGCGAGGGGCGGGGAGCGGGCCCGGCGGGCGGCGAGGCGCCGGGCGGAGGCGCCGGGCCCCATGCCGGCGGCCAACATGATGGAGAGCCTGCAGCCGCCCGCCCTGCAGGTGCCCGAGCCGCGGGGCGCGCCCGAGGGCAGCCGGGTCTGGTCCAGCTCGTCGACCCCCACGCTCCGCCGCCGGCGCTTCAAGATGCGCCGCACCAAGAATGTGCAGGAGCCGAGCCTGGAGGCCGGGCTGAGCCGGGACCTGCCCGGCGTCTTGGCCCCGGGCAAGGAGTTTCTGCAGCTGCCGTCCATCGAGATCACGCCCTCCAGCGACGAGGACACCCCGTGGTCCAACTGCTCCACGCCCAGCGCTTCCCCGCGCCGCAAACGCTTCCTCCTCCGCAAGTGGCTGCGGGTGAGTGAGCGGAAGGAGTGCAGCGAAAGCAGGTACGTGCCTGTGCCGCCCCAGCCGTCTTCCCTTTTCCTCCCCGGCCTCCCCACAGCCGTCGGGGAGGTGGGGTGGGGTGGGTGCCCAGGTCACCCCGGGGAGCTTCGCCGAGGATTGCAGGAGCCCTTCGCCAGGGTGGACGGCTTCCCCACGTGTGTCACCCATCTCCCCAGTCCAGGCCGGGGGGCCGGTGACTTTCCATTACGTGGGTACTCGGGGCTTCATGCTGCGTTCCATCCCATTGGATCCTCACAGCAACATGAATAGTAACAACCATAGCAGCTGATGTTTATTGAGCCCTTACCATTCTCGGTCAGTATGATGAGCACTCCACAGTCCATCTCCACATTTAATCCCCACGAAACCTCTTTGAGGTCGGTACTCCCTGTCAGTCCCATTGTACAGACAGGGATCGTAGAAGGCGAGAGAGGTTAAGTGGCTCCTCCACTCAGACTTCAGTTTCTAAGCTCCATTTCAATGTTTTTTATTTTATTGTTGGCCACCCCAGGTTGCCTTTCCTGGCCCCCACGTGTAGAGGAGGTGGCGGAGTATTCACATTGAGTGAGTCACATTTCTTAGACGTCTAGGCCTGGTCCGCACCATGGTGGTTTGTGCCAGCTACTTTTTGTCTGGACAAGCGTGGCATCTGAGTAGTCGGCGAGTTTGCTTTCCCTGGGCAGAGGACTGGTGTAGAAGACCATAGGGCAGCTCCACACGGCCTCGGCCAGGGGTTGTGTTTGAGCCAAGCCCATTGCCTGGTGGAGGAGTGGGGCAGTCCTCAGTGGCGCACTGATGTCTTGGACCCTCCGCATTTACCTTCAGGCTCTAGGGCCCTGTCTCCAAACAGTGGTCTGTGCCTTTGCGTGGGGCAGGCAAGTGATTGGCCACCTTCCCCGGGACTCCTCTTCCTAGTCTGTTCAATTCCATTCATTTCAGTTCAACAGGTATTTATTGGATGTTCTTGTGAGTTCAGTCTGGTACCAGCTAATGGTGCTATGGCCAGGAGGCAGGGAGGGAGGGTGGGTAGAGCTGGGTAGAGTGTGGGGATGTGGAAGTTGAGAAGGAGGATGGGAGGAGACTTGGATAAGAAATCACGGCATGTGAGTTTCCCTGGTATTGAGGAGATGGAATCTTTGGAAGACACATACTATGTGTGCCATGTGGTACTGACTGTAAGGCAAAGAGAGGAAGAAGACTTCTGGAAGGAAGAGGCTCAAACCACAACACGTACACATAGGTAGTAGAAAACAGGAAGAATATAATGTCAGGGGCATGAGATCAGGAAAGGGGAACAGTACAGATGAAGGCATAAGAACAGGCTGAGATGTGTCGTTGAGGGGATGCTGAGGAATTGGGCTGGGTTACGCAGATGGTGAGCGTTTTACGCCTGCCAGGCTTTCTTTCTCTTTTTTGGTGGTAATGACTGGATGTGGTTATCCCTGCAGGCGCAGGTGTAAAGCTTTGTTCTGGGGCTTTTTGGGGACCTGAGGATAGCAATTCTTTCTGTACTCTTACATCATCCTGTCACCTTTTCCAGAGAGTAGAGGGAAATGGGGCAAGCTTGATGGGAGCTAATCTTGAACTAAAATAGTTCATCCGGGTTTGTCAGCTTTCCCCTCAAATGTGAGAAACCCTAAAAGAGGCCCCATTTTGATCCTGAGATTCTGCCATGTACACTGAGGACAGAATACGGGGAAGATTCTTAAGCTGGTAGCCAGGGAAGGGATAGGGGAGGGTTTGGTTAGATTTAGGGAAGTCTGTCTTGGTTTAGAGAGTCTGGCTAAAGGTGCAGTGGAGGGGCTTCCCTGGCTGTCCAGTGGTTAGGACTCTGCGCTTTCACTGCCAAGGGCACGGGTTCGATTCCTGGTCCGGGAACTAAGATCTCTGCAAGCTGTGTAGCAAAAAAAAAAAAAAAAAAAAAGTTTAGTGGAATCTTCATTTTTGTTGGAGGAGGAAACATACTTTTAAATCAGGAATTCACTTTCTAGGAGTAGTTTAAAAACTGGCAGTTGGGGAATTTCCTGGCGGTCCAGTGGTTAGGACTCCACACTCTCACTGCCAAGGCCCAGGTTCGATCCCTTGTCGGGGAACTAAAATCCCACGAGCCACATGGCACAGCACACCCCCAGATGGCAGTTGTTTTCAATGGCGGCTTGCTGGATTAGAAGAATATATGTATAAAAAGACAACCTCTGGATTCAAACCCAAGTTTGTCTGACTCAGATCTCTACTCTTAACCACTGTTAAACTGCCTCCTGTTGGACTCTGTTTCGACTGTGGCCAAAACAAAAACCCATCTCTTTTAGGCCTTGGAAATAGAAGGCTTCTTGGAAAGAAAAGAAGCGGTCAAGTGAAGGGGTGCTTGTAAATGGCCAAGATGATTCCCTGAGGAGGAACTGACATTTAGAGGCAGTAGGGCACGAAGAGAATTGGAACTTAAGTCAGGAGACGTGGGTTTAAATGTTAAGTTCTGTCATTTCTCCGCTGTGGAACCTTGGGCACCTCCCTTCACCTCTGTTTCATCTTCTCCATCTGTGGATGAATGGGAGGGTCTCAAGTGATAGACGTGGAACTGTTTTGTAAACGTCCTGTTGCTGTGCAAGGGGGAAGGATTATTGGCATCATTCTGTGAGTGGCTCACATGGAGTGGATGTGTGCTTGAGAGTATAGGTTACATACTCACGTGTCCTGGAGCAGCACCCGGGACTCCTCACACGTTACATGATTTGGATGTGATGATTGGAAAGTGACCCAGCTCAGGCTTGGATTAGGGGGATGAGCACACCAGGCCCAGCGCAGCGCGCTTCCTCTTCACTGTCCCCACCCCAGGTCTACCTCTCCGCAACAGAGAAAAGCCCCTTTGAGGCCTGCGGTGCAATTCTGTCTGATGTGGTAGAAGGCACGGGGTCAAGAGGGTCTCAGCTTGTGGATTTTAACTGCACAAAGATGAAGATATAAAGAGAATCAGGAGACCCCTTTCTTTTCTTTAATCCTGGGAAGAAAGAAATAGAGAAAATGGTGAAGTTAGTGAAGACCTTGGGGGCCAGTACTCTGAGTCCAATTTTCTCTGTTTCATCCTTGGATCTTCACTGTCTAGCACTGTACTTGGCCTTTCGTCACGATCAATAGATGTTTATTGATGGGTACATTAATAACGATTGAGTGAATGATTCCTTTTTCTTTCCTCTTTGGAGTGAAATTATCCTTATTCATGAATCAGGGAAAATTTCCTGGAGGACATGAGTCCAGAACTGAGGTTTTTGACGTGTGACAGCTTTATTGAGATATAATTTTACATGCCATGCACTTCAGTCAGTTTTAAAGTACATAATTCAATGGTTTTTAGTATATTCACAAATATGTGTAACTATCACCACAGTCAATTTTACAACATTTTCATGACCTCGAAAAGAAACCCATACCCTTTCTATATCACCCTCAATCCCCCTCTACTCCTTGCCCCCAGCCCTAGGCAATCACGAATTTACTTTCTGTGGAGAGCTGAGTTTTGAAGGGGAACCAGAAGCCTCTTGGTGAAGGCAGTTTGGGTGTGTTGGCTTGAAGATGGGGATGGATGGCCAAGTGTGGTCTTGATGAGGGATGTGGAAAAATGAGGGTGGTGAGGGGATGGGCCGACAGACTATGATTTATGCTGAAGGGTTTGAATTTCAATTAGTCAGTCAGTCAACAAAGATGTATTGAGATCCTATGGACAGTGTGCTTTGTCTGCAAAGAGGATTCAGCTCAACGGGGAGCCATTTGTAGGTTCCGGAACCCAGGAGAGACATGCTCAGAATGGTATTGGATGCAACGAATTCTTGCTGTTCTGTGTGAACCAGGTGCGAGGTAGAGGCCTGAGCCTTGCACTGTTCTTCCAGCACTTACTGTTACAGCTGGGAATTGTCATCTTAGCCACTGTTTCACATAAGGTGGCACCATTTTTTGCTGGCCGCCTTGCCCTCTGAGCTCCACGGATAACGTAGTCTGAAGTTGATGGGGCAGGCTTTTAGAATTAGTACCTGCGTGTCTGCCCAAATCCCTTGGCCATAACTGGTTGTGGTGATTGTTCAAAACCCAAATTGAGGATTAGAGTCCCTCTCTCACCTGCTGGATTATGGCAAGAGGTCAGAATTGGACAGAGACACAACTTTTGTGTCTCTGTGATGGCATCCTGACATCATTCTCTGGAGGGGGAAAGGAGAGCTGACAAGGGGCAAGGGTGTAGCTGTGGCTGCCCGACGGCAGGCTGTCTTTACGGGGGACACAGAAGCGCTTCTCTGCTCTGTCTCCCCAGGACGCCCTCCTTATTATTACCTCTTGCACCACTTTCCCGTGGCAGTTCTGTCCCCTCTTCTGTGTGACGCATCTACCCTGTCATGACTTCTGCTCGGCTGCACACCTGACCTCAGGTGGCACCTCTCACTGATTCTGCCAGCCTGGTGAGCCTGGTTATCTATCTGGTGCCAGTCTAGCCGGCACGTGGGTTTGCACATAATGATTATTCATCATTGGTATATTTACCGTAAGTCTTCCTCTCCTTCCTCTGACCTTCGGAGGGAGTCTTGCTTTCGGTTTCAGCTCAGTTTCCAGGGAGGAGGCTGATGTGTGCTACACCTATCAGCTCGGTGTGGACCCTGACATCTAGGAGAAGCACAGCGAGTGTGGGAGGGAGGTAATTCGTGTCTTCCTTCACACAAAGCATCAAACAGGAGACCTGTGATTTGTCAGCAGATTAAATAAGTTATTGGTGCTGGATAAGGTTAAACTAGGAAAAACCTCTCTCCCGGACCCTTATTTCCTTGAGGGCGGGGACTGCGTCTTACTTTCTGCTAAGCGCCTTAAATACACATTTAATCCTCGCAACAAACCCCCAGGTGGGTTTTACAGCTGAGGAACCTGAAGTTCAGAGATTCACTTGCTCCTGGTCGCACAGAAGCAAGGGTGAGATCTGAATCACATTCTTTTGATTCCAGAGCCCGCGCTCTTTACAGCTACACTGAACCATCTCCCCGGGGCCTGGGAATAGTTGGCCCTCGCGTGTTTGAGATCACATCCACGTGGAAGGGGAGGTTCTGAAGGAGGTCGGGAGGATGGGAAGGCCACTGAGGATAAGTCTGTAGATGTCAGAGGTCAGAGGTCAGCACGGGGATGTGTGAGGCTGGTGCTACATGGCGTAGGTGAACTGCTCCGTGAGAAGCAGCCAACCTTGGGCTGTAGATGTGGTTTCCAGATTCAAACAGTCTGTGGAAACTGAGAAGGTAGATCTAAGCCCCGTGGGCTGATTCACACTGGCCAGTTTCCTCCATGGCACTTGGTATTTTGAGAGTTTCCGTGGTGGTTACGCACTCAGGAAGTGCCAGTTCCGTGTCAGGGGAGAGACTGGGATTTTCATGGGGCAGGTTAACAGGTGATAACCCTGCCCCGCTTGGTTAGTTTCTCCCAGGTACCGTCTATAGGCCAGTTGCTAGGCTGGTCACTGATACCGGCTTCTAGGGGAACTCCGGAGTTTTCCTTAGGGTGCTTGAATGGCTGAGCTGCCGGTGGGGGATTTCCTTTTTGACCCCAGTGGGTGAGCCGCTGGGCACCGAAGCAGGCGTTCAGATACAGAGCCAAGCTGGCCTGAGAGCCTAGGAGTGCTGGCCTGGTTGCTGTGTGTGCAAGAGCTTTACAAAGTCTGCAGGCTTTTCCTGGAGGCCTTGCCCTCTGGGGATTCTTTCCTCCATTGCCCATATCAGTGCAGTGACTCGCTAAGGGGCAGCTGTACCTGGTGTGAAGGGAGATGCTTTTCAACACCTTTTGGGGCGGGGGGAGGTCTATGAGCTCTTGTCCTGTGACTTTGGAGCCTAAGGAACCTTCCTTCTCTAGGAGGAGATGGTGAGGCTTCCTTCAGGGATGCATAACAGAAAATCAAATGTGGAAGGAAGGCAGGATGGAGATGCTTCAAGCTGGGGCACAGAGATGTCAGGCCATGGCCTGCACCTGCCAGCCTCCATGCCACTGCGGGCAGCCAGGTGCCACCTCCTGAAGATAGCCCTGGTGTCAAATATTCTTCCCTGTTTTCAGACCATGTGTCTGGGTAATCTCATCAAAATCATCACTAGGAAGATGTGGCTGTTCCTTAGCTAAGACCAGTGGTAAAGAGGAGACAGAGGAGGACACCCATGGCTTTTTCATTTGAGGCCCTGATACATCTTTTGGGTCAGATGCTGTGAAGCCCTTTCTTCTGCATCCTTTGTACGTATTCTAACTGGCTCTGGTTGTTCCACCCTGATTTTGTGGACAAGATAAAGAAAACGGGTGATTAGGCACGTCTCAGTGGCAGATCTGGGTTACAGTCTGGAACTCAGGCCTCTGACCTAAAGTCTGGGCTAATTTCTATCTGTCTTGTCTCTGGAGCTTCTTGCAGCCTGGTGCCTCCTTCCTCCATGGTCTGACCACAGAGGTTTTTTGGGCTTGCTGCTTCTGGTTCACGAGTTTAGTCAGGAAATGAGGGGGCTGAGTGAGGGGACTGAAAAAAATAATCCACAGCCCACTTGGTTTTTCCACTTTCTTTGGAACTATGCAAAAAGGATTTGCCTTGGGGCCCCGTTTGGGCAGGGGTGAGTGTGGTAACCCACGTATTCTTTGCTCCAGCAATTAGGAAAATACAGAAAGATGATGGACGGTTAGTTTAGCAATACAGTTTTTTTTTTTTTTTTTTTTTGAAGCAGCTGCGTAGCACAGGGAGATCAGCTCGGTGCTTTGACACCACCTAGAGGGGTGGGATAGGGAGGGTGGGAGGGAGACGCAAGAGGGAGGGGATATGGGGATATACGTAGCAATACTTTTTTGAGTCCAAGGGTTTTCCAGCTTGTTGTCTTTTTTTTTTTTTTTTTTACTCAGTTTACTGTTTTTATTTATGTATGTATTTATTGGCCGTGTTGGGTCTTCGTTGCTGCGTGCAGTCTTTCTCTAGTTGCCGCGAGCAGAGGCTACTCTTCGTTGCGGTGCGCGGGCTTCTCATTGCGGTGGCTTCTCTTGTTGTGGAGCACGGGCTTCTAGGTGCTCGGGCTTCAGTAGTTGCAGCACGCGGGCGCAGTAGTTGTGGCTCAAGGGCTTAGTTGCTCCGCAGCACGTGGGATCTTCCCGGACCAGGGATTGAATCTGTGGCCCCTGCATTGGCAGGAGGATTCTTAACCCCTGCGCCACCAGGGAAGTCCCCCCATCTTGTCTTAAAAGAAATTTTTACATGATAAAAGTCAATGAATATTCTATGTGTGATCAAATAACTAGTTGATGTAAAACTTTTGGACAGTAGGGAAAAGGAAAAGAGCTCATCATTTTACTACGCCAACCCAAACATTAGTAGCACGCTTGGTGCATTATCCGCTGACCCAAACATTAGTAGCACGCTTGGTGCATTATCCGCTGACCCAAACATTAGTAGCACGCTTGGTACATTATCCCCTGGTATTTTTTCTCATTCAGAGGTTTTTTTTGGCCATGCCATGTGGCTTGTGAGATCTTAGTTTCCTGACCAGGGATCAAACCCTTGCCCCCTGCCGTGGAAGCGTGGAGTCCTAACCACTGGACTGCCAGGGAATTCCCCAGAGTTTCTTTCTAATTGAGACTTTCCTTTTTCATCAGCTCTTCTGCACCTTGTACCTGTATAAAGTAAGGGAGAACATAAATCAAAAGGTTAAGGACAGGTAAGTCTGTGAAATAAGGAAAATAAAAGGATTTCTGAAGCATTGTTTCTGGAGGAACCATCAGAATGAGACATTTCTCCAAAGGGGGGGATACGAGCCCTCTCATCAAAGAAGATGCCTCTTAGCCTCTTTCTCCTGTTCTCTGTAACCCAAGCTTGGAGTAAGTGCCAGTCTGACCCCTCAAAGCAGCCTGCCTTGACCCGGCAAGCATTTGTTTCCCAGCTGGGTCATTACACTGGGAAGCTCTTCCTGGCCTTTCTGTATTCTTGGGAGTGGATGGAATGGCAGTAATAAAGGTTACTCTGAACAGGGTGGAGCTTCTCCAGAGAACAGTTTGCCCTTAGCTTGGGTGATACCATGTGTTTTCTCTGTCTACGATGAAGCACATCTTCTCGACATGTGAAGATCTCATTAAAAAAAAAAAAAAAAAAAAGGCCCCAGGAAAGAGATTGCACCACCTCTCCTCTCTTGGTTACTTCTTAATATGTTTTTGAGTCCTACTATTGAGAAAGTTCTGCTAAAAATCTAACTGAAATCCCCCATGGTATAATTCAAATTCATTCTCTCTTGTTTTGTCCTCAGTGAAGATGAGAGACTATCAGGTCATTATCCTTTGAGAATATTCCTTCAGAGACTTATTGTTAGTAATTTGGGCTGTTGCTTCCAGATTGTAAGAGAAGCCTTGATTTGGGCTACCAGTTACTTGGTGCTCACTGATTCTCCGGTGGAGGCTGTGAAGCCCTGCAGACACAGTGGAGGAATTGGCAACCACACACATTAGAAGACAGAGCCAGTCTCAGAGGTGAGCAGAGCAGGAAGTGGCCCGCCCATTCAGAAAGTTCTTAGGGACACTTCTCCATGCTTGGACTCCTTCCCAAAATGTCTCTATTGGTTGACATGCCTTTTGTTTAGCAGCCAGAGAGATTAGGCTGAAAATGTGGATAACTCAGGAGAAGCAATTCTCAAGTTCAACAAACAGTTTTGGGGCACTTACAGAGAATCAGGTGCAGTCCTAGGTGCTTGGGGCACAAAGATGGATACAAGTGGCCCTTCCTTGAGGAGCTCACAGCCTGTGGGGGAGACTAGTGTGCAAAAGATAATTTCAGTAGAACATGGAATTTGGACTAAAACATAAAAAAAAAAAAAAAATTTAAAAACAAGGTCTGAGGAAAAGATCTGCTGGGAGGGAGATGGGAGGAGGGTCCTGGGACCTAGATTTCACCCCCGAATAGCCTTACTTTTCTCTCACTCAGCTGTCACCCCTTAGTACCTACAGTTCCGGTCTGCATCTCGCTCAGAGAATCTAGTCTTCATGGTAGATGAGATTTGTGTGGTCATTTCACCTTTGAGCAAACTGAGAAGTCCAAGGTCAGTGGACAAAGCTGGTCAGTGGCAGAGATGGCTCTAGAATACTGATCTCCTGCAACCTAACTATCGTATTCTGCCCCACCCCATGTCCCTAGGAGCCTGTCTTGGCTCAGGATTGAGCCATATCTTCATCAGCGAACCCAGGAAGCTCAGACAGGCCTCATCCATTGTTAGGGGCAGGGTGATGGTTGTCCTAGGACGACTACAGTCTACAAATAGTCCAGGGGGCTGTCTGAGGCAGCATCGGAGGTAGAGGCTCTGGTTCTGTTATTTATTTATTTATTTTTTGCTGTGTGGTCCTGGGCAGGTTACTTAGTCTCTCTGGGCCTCAGTGTCTTTCTCCTTGGTAAAATGGAGAGTATACATTTCTTCTTCATCTTGTAAGACAGAATTCAGTAGATGTGTCTGAAGAATTATGCTCATGTTATGATTAGTTAATAAAACTGAGATTTCTTTGGTGATCTGTGAGGCTTCTGAGTCTGCTACTCTGGTTAGTATAAGCTGAACAGTGGTTTGTTGTTTCTTTGATGAGATGTCACTTTTCTGATATATTGATATGTGGTGAAAATGAGTTTCTGATTTGTGGGCTGCTCTTGGCTGTCTGTCTCTTCAGTGTTGGTCTGCTTAAGGTTCTGAATCCAGGCTTATTTCTCCTCCGTCTCCCCTCCCTCTCCCTCACCCCACCCCCTTTCCTTCTCCTAAATCTACGTACTGTCCTTGGACTGTTTTATTCACTCTCTTGAATTTAATTATTCCTGCATGGTGATGATTCTCACACTTACATCTCAGACCTCATCTCTTTCCTGAGGCTTCAGCCCATCTCTCCAACTGGCTGATGGGCATTTCCATTGGAATGTTCTTCAGAACAGTCCATAACTTAACTCTTCACCTTTCCCTCCAAACCAGTTCTTCTCACTCTGTTCCTTGAGGTGAGGGTTGGTACCCTTCAGCTTTGCATGGTTTCCTTCCTTTGGAGGAAGTCTGTCTTCTCATCTCCACCACCATCTCGGCTCCCTGAGCCACCACCATCTCTCACATATGTTATTCAAGCATCCTCCTAACTGGTCTCCCTGATGCTGCTCACCCTGCAGCCAGAGTTACCGTTCAGTGCCTTGGGTGGATGCTTCCTTTTTTTTTTTTTTTTTGCGGTACGCGGGCCTCTCACTGTCGTGGCCTCTCCCGTTGGCGGAGCACAGGCTCCGGACGTGCAGGCTCAGCGGCCATGGCTCACGGGCCCAGCCGCTCCGTGGCATGTGGGATCCTCCCGGACCGGGACGCGAACCCGTGTCCCCTGCATCGTCAGGGACTCCCAACCATTGCGCCACCAGGGAAGCTCTCGGATGCTTCCTTTTATTTCTAGGTCTTCACAGGCATTGTTCCTCTGTGTGGAATTCCCCTCTTGTAACACTGACCCCTTGGCCACCCTGCCCTTCTTCTCCTTCGGATCTTACCTTAGTTATTGTCCCTCCAGCAAGTATTTCCTGACTCACGTATTTATTACATCTGTGTTCTTAAGTTGTGACTACTTGATCACATTGTATCTTTCACTGGATCAGAAGTTGTGAGGGCAGAGTTAATTGTGTTCAGTGTTTGTTTTATTCAGTGCTTGTTAAGCTCTTTGCGTGGAATGTAGTAAACATATACTTAGGGAGTGAATAAATAATCAAATGGATGAAGGACTCTAAGGAAATTTGATTTTCATGGAATTCTATTGGACATCATTTTACAAAGCAGGAAGCCCTCTTGAAGTTGAATAATTATGCCCTCGTGGGCCATTTATGTAGATCTGGATTACTATGTATTGTTTGTCTGTTTTAAGTCCTTTGGTTTCTTTCATGGTTTTTCCTTTGTACTGTGTCTTCCCTCAGACTGCAAGTGCCCAGAGACCAGACATGGCTGCTCTTCTAAGGGTGTTCTCTATTTGGGGAGACAACTTTGGCATCACCAGGTGAAGAGTGGGTGACCTCTCCCAAAACGAGGCTCCAGAGAGCAAGAGCACATTGGGGGCAATATTTTGGCTTGTAGTCAACCTGGGGCCCAGGTACAGTCTACAAATAGTGGTTAGCCTTTTCCCACCAAAGACCTGTGGCAGCTTTGAAGGCTATTTTTATTTTTGGAGCTGTGGTTGCCATGGTAACACAGTACATTTTTCCTAGTCTTCTGATTCCAGGTCAGGACAACAGTTGTTCCTCTTGCAGGAGAGAAGGATTTTGTGATAGATGCACCCTTCCTTCTACCCTTTTTCCCTCCTACTTAATCCAGCCAATATTTACTGAACACATATTACGTGCCAGGTACTGTTCTAGACACCAGAACCAATAGTGAACAAAATAGTTCCTGCCCTAGAGAGCTTACATCCTAGAGAGGGGAGAAAGACAGTAAACAAATGAACAATGCAACATTGATCCCTACTTATTTAAAAACAAGTTACTTGAGCACATCACTGAAAGGGAATTAGTGTGTTTTCTAAAATTGGGAAATCAGGAGTTGTAAAAGGAATGCCTTCCACGCTGCGCTGGAGAGAGATATGTTGGGCATGGAGCTGGGGGCTGACTCCCCTCCCACCGATAGTAGGACTTCATTCAGTTCTGGAATGCAGATGCACCTGTTTCTCTGACCTCTCCCAAGACCTAGGGAGACATGGTATTAAGCTGGGCCTCTCTCTGCAGCTGTCAGGTGCCAGGGCAGTTGTTCTCCTGGTGTTTTGCTTCTTTCTTCCTCTTCGCTCCAGTGGAAGCCAAGAGCCAAAGGGCTGCCATACAAATGGCCCTTCTTTATGTCGTGTAACGAGAGCCCTGAAGGCAGGTTGGGAATGCCGTTAACTGGGGGACTATAGAGTATGGAGCCTTGAACTGGGAGCCTGGGGGGAGGTGCAGAGGAGAGAGGGGATGCTGACTCCTGCTGTTGGGAGATTCCGGTCAGAGCGGCAGAGAATGGTGCCCGCTTGGGCACAAATGAACACAGTGCTGGCAATAGCAGTGTGATAATCTCTTAATGTGGGGAGCATTTGATCCTTTTCTCCGTGATTTACAAGGCCCCGGGCTCCGGAAGCCGGCACAGAATATAATTATGCTTTGTGTTTGCCCCAGCACCTACCACAGTGCCTGGCACACACCGAGCCTTCCAGTAACATGCTTCTGGCACGACGC